ATCCATCAACCAATCAGACGTTCCCACAGACTTGCATATTTAATTTTTAAAATTGCAGTCATTCTTTTTTAAAATGTGTACCAGGAATACTGAAATCTTTCAGATCAGCTACCAATTCCCTTTATAACTTATGTAGCCAATTTTCTATCTATTTCTGTTCAGATTAAACAAATGATGGGTAAAATATTAGTTTAGATTCTTTCAAAAAAAATGAGCTTGCCTATTTTGAAAGCATAAAAAGCAATAAAATAAAGCAAAAGTACTTATTTTTAATTCAAAACCTTTGGATTACATAGCTTAATGTTTTCCACTAAATATTACAAAGTTTTCGTGTTCATTAAAATGTTGTTTTATCAGCTTTAAAACCAGATAAATCCACGAAGCACTCCTAATATATGTCGCCATATTGATTTTTTCGCGCATGCTCCGTACAAAATGCCCAGCTGTTGTTTATTGATATAACGCCTATTTCAAGATTTATCAATTTTTGGATTCAATTTTGGGCTGCATGCCCATTCTGTATTTTAGGTATAGTCAACATATTTATCGAGAGAAGAATGACAAAATATAGTAAATTACCAATTATGATGATTGCTATTGGAATGACGGCATATGCACCTTTCTTATCATCATTGTTACCACTTTCACTTGCTTTTGTGTTTGCAACATTCTTAGACTTTCCTTCGGAATTACTTTCTACAACTAAAACAGGAAAATATTATCTAACTTCGTCGGCAAAACCAACATAAAAAATATACAAGTATCAGCATTTGATCAAGGACAAGGAGCATTAACAAGTCTTGCCATTTTGACATCTGTCTCCAGTCCAACCATTCCTGCAGCTACACGTGTTAGGTGCTGTACAGCTTCCACCATTTTTGCATCCGGAGTCACACTCAGCTATAAACAGTAATAAATGTAATACGATAACTTGCAGTATCAACCAATGATTTATATTGACGTTATGAATCGCGTAAGAGAACATACATTTTAAAGTCAGGTTACTGTATGCAAGTCTGCATATACTTCTTCCTGCGGATTTTTAGATGGCAAGATAATTTTTTTCGTGAATTTCACATTCATTTTCATCAAACTGAAACAAAATTAAATCTATTTGCCCTCAGCCAATGGATCTTTCCACGGCTTTTCCACATTTATATTCAGGTAAATAAATCAAAATTCAGCATTCACTGGGAAAAAATTAAATTGTTTTTGAATCTAAAATCTGAACTCTTTTCATTTTTGGTTATTATTGATTCCCATATGGTAAATTAGTAGCTAAAAACTATAATGTTTTAATATTTATCTTTAACGGTACTTTATTTTTTCCATTAATTAACGGTAAATATTAAACATCATGGTTTTACCAATTTACCATAAAGGAAATCTATAACCAATAATAGTACGTAAGAGTTCAGTTCTTAATTTGATAGTGTTCATGGCAGCTAAATCTTTAAAAAGCCATTAAAAAAAACATTAATGGAATTTAAATTTTTTCCCTATGATTGTAGTTGAGAAAGAACGTCATAATCGATAAAATTGATAAAAAATACATAAAATGAGCAAACTTTGCAGCGCTATTTTAAATTTTTTTCGTCCTGAATCCCCCACCTTTTTCTACTTGTGGGGTTATAGACAGTTATATACGGGCCAATTTATTCCGTGTTAAAACTTACAAATATATATAAATGATTTATAATTAAGTTATTATAGGTAACGTGCACCTATCATAGATATCTTATATACACTAAATAGTGCATCTACTATTCTGCAATTCAAAAATTGAAGCCGTGATTGCAGACTCAGGATATTCCCATGTAATGAGAAGACTCGAATGTTTCTTATTTCTTAAACAGGGAACTTAAACATTAAGTTAAACCTATTCCAAATACATTTTCAAACTATTCGAATGATGACAGTTATTGTTGTTTTTTAAGCGTTTATTAGCGAGTGGGAAACTTCAACATGGCCGCCACTATTCAAATGGGGGTAACCGCTGGAATATTTTTGGCTTCAATTTTACTAAAAGAGATGCGCTATCTAGTCTGTATAAGATATCTATGGCACCTATAAAGCGAGAATTTTATAATCTTACAATTCGAACCGCGCGCTAGAGGACATAATGGCGGGTTATTGTCTATAGGCGTTTACGAAAAGGAATTAACACGTTTTACCATATTGACATCTGCTTCCAGTCCAGTCACTCCTGCAGCTACATGTTCCAGGTCCTGTACAAGTTCCACCATTTTTGCATCCGGAACCACAATCAGCTGGATAGAAATAAAAAAATACTATCGATGCGATAAGATTTAGGAAAATACAATTCGTAAACAGTTTATGTCCGGCCATATACCAAGGTAAGTGCATGGGGTATGTGTTAATTAATTAATCATCCTTACTTGCAGCTGAGAGCTAAGCCGAATTGAAAACGAAGAAGCTCAACCTGATCAAGTCAAAGGAATTCTATTAAGTTATAATACTTCCGGCAGCTGCCTTTTGACTCACCTTGTATAGCCGCCTTTTCATCACGTTTGACCACGGAGCATAGCTACGTTAGTAAGGTCTATTTGGGGCTTATCCCAACCCACCATTCCCTGTGGAGACCAAAGTACCCGGAGAAAATCAACGACTGTTGGTAGAGCGTTGACTAAGGGCCTGTTCATATACATGGGCAAAAGTTTTCCCGGTTAGCAAGAAAACTTTTCGACAAGTTTACAAGCGAGATCTCGTCTTGGTATGAAAATAATATGAAAAGTTACACTGCGTTCATATGAGACGAAATGTTTTCCCGTGTACCGAGATCTCGCTTGTTGACAGGCAAGATCTCGGTGACCGGGATAATATTTTTCCCATATGAACACAACTTTCCCGCTAAGCGGGATAACTTTCTGTCGTGTCAGCAACTTTTCAATTCAATTGATGTTCAGTGCTACGTCACAGCCGGAAACTTTACCCGGTAAACGGGATAACTTTTCTCTTTATGAACAGGCCCTAACTCTTCACAGTATCATGTGTCTGCGGTATACAAATCAAACCCACGCTGTCGGTGATGAAATGCTATGAAAAAAGCTGTGAAAAGGCGCTTGTTCTAACAATTGCACCACCGAAGCCCATGCAGGAAACATATTTTACCAGATCGACATTTGTTTCCAGTCCAACCACTCCTGCAGCTACATGTTCCAGGTCCTGTACAGCTTCCACCATTATAGCATCCGAAACCACAATCAGCTGAATAGAGAGAAAAACAAATTACGACGATCATTATTAACGACGATTATTATTAATGACGCGATTATTATTGACGAGGGTCTGCATGAAGGGGGTTAACTGACAACTGACAAATAGCCTTAACGATAACTGTTAACTGATAAATAACAATTTTTTTAATTGTTTACTGACAAATAAAACTTTACTGTTAACTGACAATTGAAGTTTGATCGGATATTTCCATGCATATACTTTGGTGACTCTTTGATCCGGGGCAAATTAGAAATCCGAATAAAAAATCGAGGAAGACTTATAAAATATTCAGACTTTAAATAAAACTATTAAAGGACTTAAATGACTCAAAGGGTCTTCAGAGACCGTCAAAGGACTCAAAGGGAGGATAGTTAAGCTGACCACAGACTGCACATATGCTAGCGGAATCCCGTGGTGTACTTAAAAGATACTTTAAGTAACACTTATTGAAGTTTATCATAACTCCATGTGCATGACTGATATATTGAGTGGTAAAGATGAGACAGAGCTACAGATAGAACAGATTGATGAGTATGAGACGGATTCCGATGATGGCGCACCTTCAAGCCACGATGAAGATGATGAATTTGGTGTTTTTTGTTAACTATACCTTTCCGTCCTGCTATAGTGTAACTCGTTCTGGAAGAGCTGTTAAAGCGATTCTGCGCCTGGATTTGTTTGTGATATATTTAACAATTATACCATTCGCTCTCGTCGTATATGAGCTGATAGCCGACGAGGTGCATAGCACCGAGTCGGCTATCAGCCATATACGACGAGAGCGAATGGTATAATTGTTTTATGATATAGTCTAAAAGCCATTAACTGAAGCAATAATTAATTATCCTCTGTTACAATGTCTTGACAATTTGTTCGGCCAAAAACCGCTTGGCCTTGAAAATTTGAATTACTTTTGTTTTAATACAACTCGAAAACGAAGTGAAAGAAATTGTGTTAGAACCGGTATATGTCACAGAAAAGCTCAGATATATTATACAAATGTTTGGTAGCATAGTAAGTTCATTTGTCTTTCGTTGCAAACTTTTCTGAATAATTTATAGTCTGAATGAACATGTTTTTTTCGCTGTTGTTTTGGTGTTAATTCTTTAAAAAAACTTGTATTTAAACTAATTTCTATGTAATAAATGTATTTTGCTAACCTGTCAATTTTTTTTCGAGAGTTTTTCTTTGTACTATTATCTGTCTCAAAGCGATTATTTTCCTTTTTTTCTGCTTCGCAAAATTCATGTAGTTTTTGGACCACCATCTTGTTTTTTGCAACTCGCCGTATATGAGCTGATATACGGCGAGTAATTAAACCAATCAGATTGCAGAACAGCTCATAAACGGTGGATCACTATATTATAAATATGTATATATATATATATATATATATATATATATATATATATATATATATATATATATATATATATATATATATATATATATATATATATATAAAATTATAATTTTATATTATTTATTATTTATAATTATTATTTTTTTATTATTTATAATATAGTGGATCACTATATTATAAATATGTATATATATATATATATATATATATATATATATATAAAATTATAATTTTACAAAATTATACAGTGTTCTCCGGATTGTAATAATTTGTTTTGAGCTTTCGACTCGGTACTTCGAGCCTTCATCAGAAAGATTGACCATTTGAATTTTCGCGCTGTTGTTGACGTTGTTGAAGTCTGTGGGAACGTCTGATTGGTTGATGGATTTCAGTATGTTGGTTGCCGTTATTTACTATCGAATGCGGGTGATTATTGTTATCATGAGACGGTGTAGGGAAGGACGTTGAGGGTGGGTTAAAGGTTTAATGGCAACCAACTTACTGAAATCCATCAACCAATCAGACGTTCCCACAGACTTCAACAACGTCAACAACAGCGCAAAAATTCAAATGATCAATCTTTCTGATGAAGGCTCGAAGTACCGAGTCGAAAGCTCAAAACAAATTATTACAATCCAGAGAACACTGTATAATTTTGTAAAAATTATAATTTAATAAAATGCCTGGATTACAAATCTTCAAATCTATTAAATATATATATATATATATTTAATAAAAAAGGAAAATATTCGCTTTGAGAAAGATTATAGTACAAGGAAAAACTCTCAAAAAAATTTGACAGGTTGGCAAAATACATTTATTACATAGAAATTACTTTAAATACAAGTTTTTTTAAAGAATTAATACCGAAACAACAGCGAAAAAAACATGTTTATAATTGAGAATAAAAATTGTTCAGAAAAGTTTTCAACGAAAGACAAATGAATTTGCAGTCAACAAGCACTTACTATACTGCCAAACATTCTTACATTTGTATAATACATCTGAGCTTTTCTGTGAGATACACCGGTTCTAAAACTATTTCTTTCACCTCGTAAAACAAAAGTATTTCAAATTTTCAAGGCCAAGCGTTTTTTGGCCGAACGGCCGGAACAAATCGTCAAGACATTAATATAACGGAGGATAATTAATTATTGCTTCAGTTACTGGCTATTAGACTATATTATAAAACAATTATACCATTCGCTCTCGTCGTATATGGGTGATAGCCGACTCGTTGCTACGCCAGACTCGTCCCCAGTCGCTTTAAGAGCGGCGCGCGGCCAGAAGTGGGCGCGTAGAGGCTCACGGCAAGGGCGAAAGAAGAAAATTTAGCGACTGGCAGATTACTGTGATTTTTCTTGCAAGAAATTGTTTTTCTTGCAAACTAATATTTTATGCTTCAATTTTGGATTTTTTGACATTGGTATACATAAATCGATCATTTTATGATGTAGTCTCTGCAAACTGCGTATTTTTATCAAGTATATCGGCCTTCAATTGGTCAAGTCTGGAGTACTTCAAAATGGCGGACTCTGATGAACTTAGATGGTGAGTGTAAAAGATGATATAATACATTCTACCACTTGAATTTGTTGACCCTTTGAGCCGTAGCATAAATTTGCGTATACTAAAGAAATTAAGAAACTGGAATTCATTATACGCTCGGCTAATTAGCGCCATGTTGCCTTGTTTCAAGTTGTAATTTTTGTCGTTCTGAACTATAGACTTCAATTCCATAAATTCAGATGAATGTCCTAAGACCAGCACTCCTAGAACTCCTAAAGCGAGAAAGTTACTGCCATTTGAAGTCAAACACGACCTAACACCAGATTCTAAGAGTCCGGGATTACCAAGAAGGCAAGAACTAAATGCAGGAAAGTTTTTCAAGGTTGGAACTTGTATTTTTAATAAGTCACTTGTTTGAATGTGCAGGTGATGTTGGCACATTTGTTCCTGGAGATCTTTAGGGCTCTTTAAAGACTATATGAATCAAAACAGATGGGTTGAGACTTAAACAAGAGGATGTTGTTACTGATGATCTTAGTGTAAAAAGCCACCTTTCAAGAGCTTTGGCAGCCATATTTCCTAACTGTGAAAAGAAAAGGGTGTTGTGCGAACATAAACAAATATATTCCTTTTACATGTGTAAAGGCTGATGTGCATATGTAATACATGATCAATCCAATTCATAACATTGCATTACAAATGACATAATATTTTTATATTTGTCTGGTATATTGTGTTTTGGTTAATCTTCCTCAGGATGCTACGTCACAGAATAAGGTACACAGAAGACCGACTTCTTGGGTTTTCCTATGATTTAGGCGTAACCTGTAATTTGTCATCAAATGCTAACGCCATGGTCCTAGCCAGTGCGCGTTTGAGAGGCATTCACCCCCTGATATTATTCAAAATGGCGAACGTCCAGGAGGGAATGCCTCTTAAACGCGCACTGGCTAGGACCATGGCGTCAGCATTTTGATGATGAATCATGGTGTGGCAGTGGTTACTCGAGTCAACCTTCTGTGTGCCTTATTCTGTGCCTACATGTCCCTCACTCACCTCCCCCCCCTGAATTTTTCTGCACAACCACCCACCCCCCACCATGCAGATAACATATGAAAGTATAAAGCTTTATTAAGTTAATATAATAGACATGCTCCACTACATCATGTACATTAACTGTAATTATAATACATTTTAGTTCCAAATTAATTTAAAATTATTCACTGTTAATAATTCCATTGAAGAAGTCCAATTAAAATGGTTCAAAATTAATCCAGCTTTTGTGTCTTCAATTTCCATACATCTTGCTTGGTACTGCAGTATTTTGCCACCCAGATCAAGATTAACCCTTTAAGTGGCAATGCACCCTGATATGCCCTACATTATTATTTTACTCTGTGTAACACCAGACAATTTACTCATCAAGGGAGAGTGCTGTCACTCTAGGGCTTAATTGGGAAACCAGGGTGAGTCAGGACAAATTCCCAATTGTGTGATAAATGGTGTCCCAATTGTAAGATAATTCTGGAATAAACAAGAATATATTATATGTTGTAAAGTTGAGTACAGAAATGATGATGGGAAAAACAAGAGATACCAGAACCATTGGTGGTGCAATTATCAGACTTAATGGTATAACAATCAAAAGTCAGTGCCGTAGCAAGTTCGATAATTTGGGGGGGGCTCATATTCATATATTCATATTCACAGTCCATAAAAACAATCAATTTCAAAAGAAATTAATAACGCAGAACACGAATATAATATATGAATATGAGCCTCCCCAATTATCAAGCTTGCTAAGGCACCGAAAGTGGCCCTAAACGTTGGCCATGATACAAGGTAGAAATTACCTTATCATTTCAAGGACTATGAGTGCAAGGATTGTCAGAACATAGTTAGAAGTAATTGCCAGATTGGCCCCAGTGCATTGATACAGTATTTCTGGTTTTTCAAATTGTTTAATTAAGGCTATGATAGGAGTTATGTGCCACCTGAGCTTCTATATTATCCCTACAACCCTGTGCCCCCAGACAATGTGTTGTTAATGACCAATGTAACGTCTTTTCATCATATAGCAACATTTAGTTACGGGGGGGTATATTTTGTTATTTACAGGTATTTTGGGAAATATTTGAATGCTCCAAAAGTCTTGTCATTGATTTAATAGCCTTGTATGCAAGTTTTAAGTTGGCACATAATCATATCAACACAAAACCTAATAATAGCACTTTATAAAGTAATTTATAAATAACAAAAATTTGTAGTTTCAGCAACCAAATTGTGAAATACACAGGTTGCAAAAAAAAACACAGCAAAAAGCTGTTTTCTTTATAATCCAAAGAGTTTAAGAGTGCATTTCATCGTGAAATATAAAGATATAAACGCATAAATAAAATTGAATAAAATACCAACCTGTTTTTATATTGCTCGCTGGCTCCAATTAAAGGCATTCAACACTCTAGATTTACGAATACCTTCGATTGGTTGTTAATCGATAGCTTTTCCAAACATGACAGTGTTTCCTTTGAGTGCTTCTCTCAGTTCTCTGGCACAATAAGACTTTTCGCCTTTTAAATTTTAATATCACTAATCAGCTGAAAGCCTGAAATAACAGGTTACACGTTACAGGACATTTATGGATTGTCCTGTAATGGTGGTCTAAACCATCTTGATCATAGCAAGATAAATTATACTGACATTCCTCATGCGGACAAGGGAGTTTATCAGCTAAAAACGCTCTGTGGTGTATATTAAAATAGTCTTTCCTCTTTTGTTGTCAAATTGTCCGCCATTTTGTCTCTGTAATCTGCCAGTCGTTATTTTTTCCCTCGCCTTCCCTTTTCCCCTTGCGCGCGTCCACATTTGGTACTGATCTATATATATATATATATATATATATATATATATATATATATATATATATATATATATATATACAGATAATTCAATAAAGGTTGTTATATATATATATATATATTCGCTCTCGTCGTATATGGCTGATAGCCGACTCGCTGCTACGCACCTCGTCGGCTATCAGCTCATATACGACTCGAGCTCATGGTATAATTGTTAATTATACATACATACATATATATATATATATATATATATATATATATATATATATATATATATATATATATATATATATATATATATATATATATATATATATATATATGCTCACTGCTTGCAGTTTGAGCACTCTGGCAATGGTTTGATGTCCCACATTCGTGAGACATCAAAGGTAACTAGTTATAGTGGTTACTTTCATCCTGCTCATCAGCACTACACTGATGAGGCCCAAAAGGCCGAAACGGTACCGTCTGTAGTTATATATATATATATATATATATATATATATATATATATATATATATATATATATAACTAACTACAGACGGTACCGTTTCGGCCTTTTGGGCCTCATCAGTGTAGTGCTGATGTCTCACGAATGTGGGACATCAAACCATTGCCAGAGTGCTCAAACTGCAAGCAGTGAGCATGCGCACAATGCGTAAGCAGCAATGGCTCATCCTGTTAGAGTGCTCAATATGACACAAAGGCCATAGAGCAATATCTAACTACAGACGGTACCGTTTCGGCCTTTTGGGCCTCATCAGTGTAGTGCTGATGAGCAGGATGAAAGTAACCACTATAAATAGTTACCTTTGATGTCTCACGAATGTGGGACATCAAACCATTGCCAGAGTGCTCAAACTGCAAACAGTGAGCATGCGCACAATGCGTAAAGCAGCAATGGCTCATCCTGTAGAGTGCTCATATATATATTTAGTTGTGTAATTGTACACTCTGTAATATGTCGTTAAGATGAAAATGTTCTAGAGTGTGTATTATATATAATTTCCATAATTTCCATACCCAGCGCAAGCAGAAAGATTTTGTCTGCCGCGGCTGGGTCTTGAACCCGCGACCTTCGAATTACTAGATCGACGCTCTACCTACTGAGCTACACGGTCAGACGGATTTAAGACTAGAAATTATGAAATATATATATACTGAATGTCATAAACATACTCGTTTATATTAATTTTGCATCGAACAATACTAGGGGGCGGCACGGGGGCAATAGGTTGCCCTTTTCAACAGGACTGCGCTTCGAAATTTGTGCGTTATTCTCATGAATTGGGATTTATAACTATTTTTAAGCAATGTTTAAGCAATCTTTGCTTAATTTTAACCAGCTATAGTAAAATTAATGCCAGTGAGGCCGCGGAATCACTTTTGTATAATTATGACACAAAATCAAACGAGTTTTATGTCGTTCACGAGCCAAACGAAAATTTTTTGAAAATATGGAGTCCCTATAACGTCGGAAATGGCCTTTACAGAGTCTTTACTACTAAAAAAAGGGCAGTTTCTTTCTAGCCCCCAAAAGGGCATTTTTTCACTTTTAAAAAAGTGGGGAGGCACATATATGCTTCCATTGCCCCGGTTTCGCGGCCCCTGATTAATGCTAA